TTATCAGAAGGATGTGCAAGGCGTCGATGCCAAAGTTGTTGTTCTTGAATCAGACTTGAGGTGACTTGAAAAGCCTTGGGAGTTTGAACATGCTTGGAGAGGTAGTAAAGACCGTTTAGAAAAAAACCTTCACCAATCGTCTTCTTGGTGATGATGTCCTGAAAAATCACAATTTTGGGAGAAAAGATGGCAGTGCAGTTTAGTGAGTTTGTGATTTTTCCAACAGATAAAAGCTGAAAAGGGAATGAAGGAACATAGAGTGCCTCAGACTCGACATTATTAGAGATCAGATGTATTTTTCCTTTCCCTACAACCATGGCACCCTTGCCATTAGCGACTGACACTTGAGATGGACATGAAAGTTTTTTAAAATCATATAGATTTGTGGACTTGTTGGTCATATGATCAATGGCTCCTGAATCTATAATCCAATAATCATGCATATTACCTATTTCAAGAGCAGTTAGGAAGGATCGCAAGATACCTGGAATATCTTGTTGTGTCATGCCTTCTTTCCCAGCCAAAAAACCAGCAAGCTGTCCAAGTAGAGCAGCTGGTTTGTTGTCACCCTGACTAGTTAATCCTTCATTCTCTCCACCACCTTGTTTCTTGTGAAGAAAGGCAGCAAATTCATTTATCAGCATGGCCGGATTGGATGTAAACATCTGTGCTTCCTCGGAATGAGAAGTCATGGTATGGTTTGCCTTGGGTGATGGGTTGTGTGCTCCTCTAGTGAAGCTCTTGTTGCTGTCCCTTGAGTGCTTGGGCCTTAGTTCAGGATGGAGAATCCAGCAATGGTCTCGTGTATGTCCACCAGTATCACAATAACTACATTTCACAGTAGGTTTCTTTCCTTTATATCTTCTCTCTTCACTAGCCCTGTGGTTTGAGAAATATACCCTAGATTCTGGTATATTTGACTTTAATTCCACAGTCATGATCTTTCTGCGAGTTTCTTCCCTTTGGATAGTGACACCTGAGATCTTCGTATTCAGAGCTCAAACTTGCTAGAAGCTGAAATATTTTATCTTCTTCAGCTCTCTTGATCAGCACAGCAGCGTCAATGGTGTGTGGCCGATAAACATTCAACTCGTTCCACATGGTGGTCAACTTGCCAAGATGATGCACAAATGAGTTCCCTTCCTGTTGTAGACTAGCAATATCCTTCTTCAGCTGGAACACTCGAGCTGCGTTATTCTGATTCCCATACATCTCTTTGAGGTTTTTCCAAAGAGTGTACGAAGATTCAGCATAACCGAAGATTTCTGCAATTTTTTGATCCATAGAATTGAGTAGCCATGACATGACCAGCTGGTCCTTGCACAGCCAATCATTGTAACCTGATGAGGACACATTAGGCGCTGGGATCGCGCCATTAACATAACCCAGCTTCGATCGTCCTCCTAACGCAAGTGTGACAGCCCTCTCCCACGGGAGATAGTTGAACTCATTTAGTAGGACGGAACTAAGACGTTGATTTGGATTAATATCCACGTCTTGATGAGATGAGGAAGACGCAACATGCGAGTTTACTTCTTCGCCTTGCACGGAGCTCCCTTCAGCCATGATAAAGAAGAAATAGGAAGACGATATTCAGAAGCAGATCGATAGAGATCACTGCTCTGATACCATATTGAAGTTTGAATGTCTATTTCTCATTATTATCAAACAAGTTACAAAGAAAGCTCATATATATGAGCGGAAGAAAAGGAGAAAACGGAAGCAGAAATCAAGGGACAACACTTTCCTTGATTTATGCTTTACCAACAACTAAAGATAAGTACAATCAGCTAACAACTAAAGTAAGGTAGAAATCCCTTGAATTAGGGAGAATGACAACTATGACAGCCATACACAACAATGGCAGCCATACTTAGTTGTTAGACTGCAGTGCACCATACATACACCTATGTCTGCCGACTAGGGTTTGAGATTTAACTTAGACTAACCCTAGAACTTCTTCCAATACTTACTTCACTGTTCTTAGAGCTCATCACATTCTTCTCTTGTTCTGCATTCAGAAACACTTTGAAACTTCCTTTTAAAACTGTAAAGACACAAATTTAATCAATTAAATACAAATATATTGAAACACTGAGAGTAGAAACAATAGTGGACATAAAGAGTTCATGGAAAGATCAAAGAGTGGACAAATCATGATTTTTTTATTTTATTTAGAAAACATACTAACAAATAACTAAATGAGTACCAACTAAAGCCCTTAAACCGTTGTTGTAAAAATAAAGAGAAATACCTTAGAATAAAGTTGAGATAATTACGTAGTGAACTAATTGATTGAATTAGAAGCCATTAAATCCAAAATCTAGCCTCTTCTTCAACAAAATATCTCAAGCATACATGGCAATGTACAATCATCAAACACATAAAAGATTAACTCCATATACAAACCCAGACTAAAGGGTGCTTAATTTGTCCAAGAGGTATACAATTCTAAGTATTGGGTTTACTTCATATTGTGTGAAATCCTATTAAGAGAATGTGGATAATTGTTGGTCTATTCATTAATAACAACCTCCATGCGATGTGCAAAACACTTTAAACGTTATCAGCATAGAGTTGATCAGCAATTACACAGTGGGTGGACAGCTATGATGCATGGACACATGTAACAGCCATCGTATCCTGTATCTGACACGCAGGGATACGGATACGCATAGGATACGTGTGGATACGAGCCCGATACGTATCGGAACGAAGGGATACGTTATTTATTAATGAGATACGCGTATCATACTATCGAGATACGCGTATCACACTTTTCAGATACGTTTTCAACTAAATCAGAGGATAATCCAACTAAATCAGAGGATAATCAGAAGAAAAAAAAATAAAAAATAAATCAAGAAATCCGCACAGAATCGTGATTGATTCCAATTAGCTAAATTGAAACGATTGTTTGGCTAAAACCCAAAACGATTTTGGGTATAAAATAATGATTTACCTATTTTTCTTCACTTGAACCTCATAAATCAGAAATCAGAAATCAGACTTGTCGTTTGCAACTACTCCGTCGTCTCCGTCCAACTGCTTCGTCGTCTCCGTCCAACTGCTTCGTCGTCTCCATAGTCTCCGTCTGCAACTGCTGGTAAGAACTTTCAACTTCATTTTCACTATGGTAATTTTGAAGCTTAATCTGGTTCCTAGAAACACAACCCGGATCTGCAGCTGAAAGGAAAGCTTGCTTTCCTGTTTTTAATTTCGAAGTTAAAAGGCAATAAGCTTTGACTGATTCAATGTGTAGATTGGAAAAAGGGCTTTTGCTTTTTGTATATGATATATTAAATTAATATAGTACTTCAATGAATGCAGCTTCCTGGCACTGTCCGTGGAAGCACTCAAAGCTTTTAGCCTTTTGCTTATATTCTTTTGCTTTTTGTATATAATATATTAAATTAATATAGTAGTTCAATGAATGCAGCTTCCTGGCATTGTCCGTGGAAGCACTCAAAGCTTTTAGCCTTTTGCTTATATTCTTTTGCTTTTTGTATATAATATAATAAAAAGGACCTCCATATATCCTTACGCCAACATTTTTCTATTGGAATAGCCTTTCATGATATTTAGATTATAATACATTGTTCTAGATATTATTGTACTTTCATGATATTTAGCTTAATCTGTTATGTAAATTGGGAATACAGTGTTCTAGATATTTAGATTATAATATTTTATGTATATGCTTTCATGATGCATTTTTTATTTCTTAAGTTAATATAAATTTTTCATGTATTAGTCTTTGTCTATACGATTATACGATGAATTGACTTTTATTGTTTATATGTTTGTTAATTTAGGAAAATGAATCTCCCTGATAATCATGTGAATGATAATGTTAATCTGGATGAGATTGTTGAAAATTATAATGCTCCGCTGTGGAAGTATGTCAAAAAGCTCGAAAAAGTGGGAAATAGAGGAGGAGGAAATACTAAATTTGAGTGCAATTATTGTCAAAAAACTTATAAAGGATCCTACTCTAGGGTCAAGTTTCATTTGTTAAAAATGTCTGGAAATGGGATCGCGCCTTGCAACAAGGTTACTGATGAAACTCTTGCGGAAATGAATAAGTTAGTTCGAGAGTGTGAATACAAGTTGAAGAGTTCTGCTCCTAAACATGTTTCGTTGCCCAATACTGGTTCATTCTGTTATGATCTACCTGAAGCAAATCTTGATCCAAAGAAGAGAAAGGGAATAAGTGGGCCTCTCAGTAAAGCTTTTAACAAGGAGGCTCGAGATCAATGTGATGCCGAAGTTGCAAGGATGTTTTATACAGGTGGCTTATCATTTAACCTTGCAAGAAATCCGCACTATCGGAACTCATATGTTCGTGCTTCTACACTTCCAGGGTATGTTCCACCAGGTTACAACGCACTGAGAACTACTCTTTTGCAATAAGAGAAGAGTCACATTGAGCGGTGCCTCCAACCAATCAAGCGCACATGGAGCACTAAAGGTGTAAGTGTTTGCAGTGATGGGTGGACAGATGCTCAAAGGAGACCACTTATTAATATTATGGCAGCTTGTGAAAGTGGGCCAATGTTCTTGAGAGCAATTAATTGTGAAGGTGAATACAAAGACAAGCATTGTATTGCCAACTTTCTTACAGAAGCTATTAAAGAAATTGGTCATGAAAATGTTGTTCAAGTGATCACTGATAATGCCCCTGTTTGTAAAGCTGCTGGGTTACTTATTGAGGCTCACTATCCCCATATCTTTTGGACACCCTGTGTTGTTCACACTCTTAATCTTGCTTTGAAGAGTATATGTACTCCGAAACAAACAGAAGTTTCCTACGATGACTGCAATTGGATTTCAACTATTGCTAGTGATGCTTGGTCCATAAAAAATTTTATTATGAACCATAGGATGAGATTGTCCATGTTTAATGAACATTGCAAACTAAAGTTACTTTCCATTGCCGAAACAAGGTTTGTTTTCTCCACTTTTTTTTTTTTTTCCTTATTTAATTATAAGTTGTCCTAATTTTTAAATTTTTCAGATTTGCTTCCACACTTGTGATGCTTAGAAGATTGAAGGAAATAAAGGAAGGTTTACAACAAATGGTGATTAGCCCGAATTGGGCTTTGTACAAAGAAGATGATTTGGTTAAAGCAATGATGGTGAAGCAAAAGATATTGGATGAGGATTTTTGGGAGAAGATTGATTATATTCTTTTCTTTACAGCTCCAATATATGAGGTTATTAGAATGGCTGACACAGATAAACCTTGTCTTCACTTGGTGTATGAGTGATGGGATGCTATGATTGAAAAGGTGAAAGCTGCTATATACAGGAATGAGCGCAAGGCATTACATGAAAAAAGCAGCTTTTTTGATGCGGTGTATCGCATTTTATTGGAGCGATGGACTAAAAGTAGCACACCACTTCATTGTTTGGCACATTCATTAAATCCAAGGTAATGATTTTGCTAACTTATAAATTCTTCTAGATTAATTTTTTAGCATTATGAGTACATTTTTAAACTGTTATTTCTTTTATTTTAGGTATTATAGTTCAGAATGGCTCCAAGAAGATCCTAGTCGTCTTGCTCCACACCGAGATGTTGAACTTACAATTGAAAGGAAAAAGTGCTTTGAGAGATACTTTTCCAATGAGGAAATTAGAAGAAATATCAATGTGGAGTATGCCTCTTTCTCTATGTGCTTGAATGACTTTGGAGCTATTGATTCTATGAATGATAGATTTCATTTGGAACCAGTGATGTGGTGGATTGTCCATGGAGCTTCTACACCTAGTCTCCAATCCATAGCGTTGAAGCTACTTGGACAACCTTGTTCCTCCTCTTGTTGTGAAAGAAATTGGAGCACTTATAGTTTTGTTCACTCTTTAAGAAGGAACAAAATTACACCACAAAGAGCTGAAGATTTGGTATTTGTGCATAATAATCTTCGTCTTTTATCAAGGAATAGCTCAACCTACAAGGAAGGTATTACTCAATTGTGGGATGTTGGAGGAGATGGCTTTGAAAACTTGGGTGAAGAAAGTGTCGGGATGCTTGAAATAGCTAACCTTTCACTTGATGAACCGTCATTGGAGACTACTTTAGTTACTGGAGGAGACATCATGAATGTGGAAGTTGAATGAGACTTTGCTTTTTTTAATTTTCGTTTGGATTTTCATTTTAATTTTTCAAGTTTGAAGACTAATTGCTTGTTGGATGGACTATCTTTCTAACTGTTAGGAGTTTATTGAAATAAATTTAAACTTGAGTAATAAATTTGAATGTTTATTTTATAATATTTTAGATATATTTATTTATTTATATATATTTTTAATTACCGTATCCTTGACGTATCGTGTCTTCATTTTTAGAAATTTGATGTGTCCCCGTGTCGTATCGTATCGTATCGCCGTATCCGTGTCCGTGTCCATGCATCCTAGGTGGACAGTCCTTGGTTTAACTGAAGAGTTGGAGATACTTGCCTTGATTGAAATATTTTCCTTGCGCTTTTTCAAGATGTCTAGAAGCAGCCGGGTCCTAAGTCTCCAAACTCAAAACCATAAAACACATCATTGAAAAAATCACAACTTAAAAATGGCTGAAAAATTAAAACTTGGTAAGCAAAATCTAAGAGGGCTAATAAATTAACTGCACTTGGAGCAGAGACTGGCAAATCCATCCAACCGCAAAGATCAGCCTTTCTTTCATTCGTGTGTATTGGCTGTTCTGCACAAATGATTCATGCAAACCTTAGAACCCCATTGCCCCAAATTCAAACTCTCCAAAACCCTAAAAGCAAATAAAACAGAGCAATCAAACCTAAATATCTAAACCCCTTTTGACCAAAACCCATAAATTAGAACACAAAACCCAGCATTAACCTCGTAATTTTTTTAAAATTTTTCTTCTCATTACTCATTTACAAAATATAATAAAATTCATATAAACTAATAAAACCCCAAAAAAAAAGGAAAACAGAGTTTGAAGTTTTTTTATGAACTTACAACAAACAAATTTTTTTTTTTTTCTGGCAACATGTGGAGTTTCTTGATTCAATCACATAAAACAAAATTCTTAAGTTCAAAACAAAAAAAAAATTACAAATTAAAGAGAAGAAATAAGAAGAATAAAAAAAGATGAGCGTGCGTACGGAGGAATGGAGGAGTAGAGGTGGGGAGAGGAGGATTGCCGATTTCAATTTCCCTGAATTGGATGAACCGATGAAGCAATTCCCCGATCGGACTCCCTGTTTCCCATGGACATCGTGGTTGCAGCTTCGGATTCTAAGGAAAATTGGTGTGAATTTAACAAACTAAATCACCACAAAATCATCACGGATCTAAATAACAAATACCAAAACTTCAGTATGCTTTTGCAGATATCAAAGGGAAGTAGTAAAAAAGAAAGACCCACTTTTTTCCCTTACCTTTCCTATGGTACAATACAAATATACTCAGAGGCAAAGAGCGGTTGCGCCACCTGGTGATGGCAGTGGTTCCGCCGTGGGAGAGAGTTCGAGAAACAGGGCTGTGCTTCTTTGGTTGAGGGAACAAAACATGAATCAAAGTCGTAGTGGGTTAAGCAAGAGGAAGGAATAGAGAGGGTAAACGCAACAACGGTGGTGCTACTTGCTGTCAAAATGAGAGAACGACGGCTGAAGAATGAAAATGCAGATGACCTACACGTATCCAATAAGGGTAAATTAGTCATTCCACTATTAAGGCCGAAAATGATAACGGGAAAGAACATAAATGTGGGGGGCATTTCCATCTTTACACTGAACACTTTTTGTTTGCCTTAGGGCTTTAGCATGTATAATTTATATACCTTTGTTATTATTGATACCCAAAGTTAAAAGGGTTTTTATGACAAATGGTTATTGAAATTGACCAACCCTATCAAGCCGGTCCCTAAAATTGAAAATCAATCAATGTAGTCCTTGAAAATTGATGTCACAAATCAATGTAATCATTCCGTTACAATTTCATTAAAATTTCTGTTATGTGATTATGTGTCACATAAGTGGGTTTCACAAGTCTAATTAAATATTACCATGAAATAAAAAAATTTAAATAATAAAAAAATAATTTTTTATGTCAAAATAAAAATAAAAATTTTCACCCATCGTCTTCGTCAAGCAGGCTTGGCCGGCATGGCAACCCTGCCCAACATGGCTCCATTTTTGGCATTCGATCCATTTAAACATAATATACCACGATAGAAACCCAGTTGAACCAAACCATTTTCTTCGTTTTCGATTCTAGCGTCGTTGACACCCACCTTCTCCCCACCATATCCTTCGATTTACCGCCACACTCGATGACTAGGGGTGGGCACGGTGCTGTTCGGTGCGGTTCCACCCCTAAATTGGAACCGAAACCGAAATATATTAATGGTTCGATTCGGTGCGGTTCCACTTAAATTTATTACTAGAACATTACGGTTCGGTCTACACCGGTTCCGATTCGGTTCTTGCCGGTTTACGGTTCCTAATAATAAATTATTTGAACACCAAATCATTATACATTCAAATACATCTTCTAAAACTGATTACATAAGGTTGCATACAACACATCTTTTTTAATGCAAATGTCTTTGTTAGTGGCACCAAGTCAACAAAAAGAGACAACGAAAATACATATGCACTGGTCAATCAGTCAACAAACAAAAAAATGATGAAGCAAATTGCAGGTTTTCAGACTTCAGAGAGCAATCAAGAAGTAGCAGCTCCTGTACACAATTTTTCAACCTATTTTTTAACCTATTATACCATGACATGTGTGTGTATATATAATTTATTTATTTATTATTAATAAAACGGTTCGGTTCGGTTCGGCCGGTTCTTGGTCATTCGAAACCGGAACCGGAACCGGTTTGAACGGTTCGGTTCGGTTTTTCACTCAAAGTTGACTTTTCCGGTCAACACGGTTTTTTTCGGTTTTTTTTCTTACGGTTCGATGCGGTTTTGCGGTTTGGCAGTTTTTATGCCCACCCCTATCGATGACACACCCCGACCGAGATCAGGGTGTGCTGGCCATCATGCGGAGGTAACGTAACCATGTGCACAGTGCGGAAGCTAATAAAACAATAATAGAAGAAGTACGAATAAATAAAAACTATCATACATAAGGTAATCGTAATAAGTGCTAGCGTAAGTGAGACACAAGTTCAGAGCATAACGCCTAAAGCAGTCCAACTAAAATGACGCGACAACAGTACACCCGAAGGTGGCCCTACGCTGGTGATCGTCTGTCAGAAATACCGGGAAAGCTCTCTGGGAAACCACCAACCTGCTAGACAGCTAGAACCTAGAGGGGCGCAAAACAAAAGCGTGAGTGGGCAAAAACAAAGCTTTTCGAAAACCATTTAACAAATAAGTTCTAACCCCTCGCCGTAAACCTGTATACTTCCCAGAAAATAAACATATGTACATATATATATATATATACCAATCATGCATCAGGATATGCCATGCCAAATCTCACAATGAAATGCAAGTGCTCGGGTATAAATCATATCCATAACATATAGTCTGGCAGCTGGAGTCACCTAACGTGACCTGTACGGCTGCATCTAGAGCTCAAATCTCAATCTCAATAACTAAACCTGCCCACGAGTTGGAACCACCTAAAGTGGTCTGTACGACAGGCCTGGGTGTAATACATATAAACGTTCTAGTGCTACGATCACGTGAAGGCTGTGCGAATAATCGCAGGTCACCTACGAGTCGGAACCACCTAAAGTGGTCTGTACGACAGGACTGTGCACCTAACTTGGATCCAAGCTGAGCGTGTGGTGCGGGAGGTGAACAACACGTGAAGGACTGTGCCCTACTCTGGGCGGGAGCACTAACACCGGGGGTGCAGGTTATGAGCTCTCTAAGCATCTCAAATCGCTACTGAAAGTAAACATGAATAACACTTACCTGGCACTTACCTGTGCGTCCGCAGCACCCAATATGCATATGTATATATATACAACTAATAATGCAACTAACAATGCATAAATAACGATAATCTAATGCATGGCATATGGCGAATGACAATTCAAATCAATTTCTGGGAAAAATATAAGTATATAGGTATATACGGAAAACCAAAAGCCCACTCACTGGTAAGTGGAAGGGTCGTAACCCCCCTGCCTCGAGTGACCACGCTCGTCCTCGGGATACATCTCACCTATATGCGAAATAACTATAAAAACGTTAATTTTAAAGCACATAACCAACCTTTATAAATAACTTCTCATACAATGCTCAAATGGGGTGTATGAATACACCAACGTGATCTACTCAACCTCAGGAACATCCCCATATTTTTAAAATAATTTTTCACCGCCGCACGCGCCCCCACGCGCCGGCCAAGGCACGGCCACACCCGCCGGCCACGCGCAGGCACGTGCCTGGCACGCTAACGGCATCTACTGACGCCGTGAGGGAATATTCTGTTATCCCTAACGGTTTCCGTCAACGGCCTCAGGAATATTCCGTCAGACTTGACGGAATATTCCGTTGTCTTCTCCGGCGAGCCTCCAACGCCGTCGCCGGTGCCGGAAAATCGGGAATTTTTCAAACGTTGATATCTTCTTCGTTTTTCATCCAAATTTCACAAAATTGGTACCAAAATGAAGCTTAGAACTAGAGGAACACAATCATACCGCTTTCAAGGGCTAAAATCCACAAAATCTCACCTAAAAATCAACCCAACTCGGGCCAACTTCGAAACTAGTGATCCCGACGTCCAAAACCATCAAACGAACCACCCCGAGCCTCCTAGGGACCTCACCAAGCTACCTACAAGCTTGAAATTCCCTAAAACGTGAGAAATCACGTGTGCATGAACAGTACCTCAAATCGGACATCGTGTAATCGACGTGAAAACGGAGGTGTTCTTACTTGAAATGGGCATGGTTGGACTCCTACAAGTCTCACGAGTCTGAATATGTGCTTGGTTTCTTTGATCTGTGGAGGTTTGATAGGTTTATGGGTGTGTCCGTACGATGGGGGAGGAAATGGGAAAGGAACTGGGCACGGGATAGGGTGCAGGGCAGGGGAGAAAGGTGTGGGTGCAGGTTAGTGTGTGTGTGTGTGGCCCAAAACATGCCAACACGGAACCCAAAAGACCAATAAACGTAAAGAAAACGAACTAAGGGCAATCTTGTCTTTTCACACGTACGTTGTAATATTTTGGGACGGGCTGTCACACTCGAGACCTAGGTTGACGGCCCCACACCAATCTTTCCGATGAGTAGCAAAAGATTTGGGCAAAAACCCTCCA